CCGGACTTCGCGACCGAAAAGGTACCCGTCGGAGATGTTTTTGTCCATGGAAGTGGCGAATGCGATCAGCTAGGTCTGAGCGATGATATGCGAGAGCGCAAGAAGCCCACGCTGTTGAAATCCCTGATCGGGAAAAGCATCTGCGAAATTGCAGTCGGTGCCATGCACGTTCTTTGTCTTTCCACAGGGGGGGCTGTGTACAGCTGGGGCTGCAACGATCATGGGGCCCCGGGCAGAGCTCCTTCGGATGGTTGGGACGGTGGCCCGTCGGATGTGGAGCCACATCCGGTGACGATGCCAAGTGGAGTCGCAGTTTGCCATGTTTCGTGTGGAGACTGCCACAACTGTGCCTTGGATGAGAAGCGTCGGGTCTGGTTATGGGGAACGTACAAGGATTCCAACGATTATATCGGCATCGCACACAAGCGCAAGCAGGAAACGGAGGTCTTGGAGAAGAGTGCAGAACCACCGCTGGTCCTGGTGGGATGCCTGCAAGTGTCAAGTGGTGCCATGCACACGGTGGCCCTAGCAGCCCCGAGCGGACACAACCGAGCCTTCGGGACGGCTTGGACTGCAAGACGCTTGTGGCTTCTCCGAGCGCACCCTGCCGGAGCAGGTGAAGCTTCAGGCCGTGCCCGCTGTGCGAAGGGCTTCCTGCATAGCTGGTGGACTGCACATCACGGCAGCGCTGGTGGATGCACGCGCGTTCAGTTCCGTATTGCTTTGGAGGAGATTGCACGTGCGAGCTTCCGTTTTTGTTGATCTCCTTCAGATCTTTTTGGTTTATCTTCTTCATCATGATATAGTTCCAGCCACTCCCGAGCCTCTGCGCCGGCACACGCGCCCATACACTGCAGCTGCATGCAAGATGCAGGATTTGATTGATTGGGTTGAGTGAGGGAGCATTCTGTTGCATTGTTGCAGGACCCTCCGGTGCTGCAGCCTCGAGAAGATCAGGAGCTTCCGAGAGTTCGAGCGCTGCGTTGTGGAGGCCATCACCTGTTAGCCCGCACGGAGGGCGGAGACCCCTGGCTGTGGGGTTCTGGCTTGACGCAGCTGCTGGCAAACCGGCCACGGGACCTGTCAAACTCTTCTGATGCAGATGAGAGGCTCACAGATGAGCTGAGATCCTACGAAGTGTCTTCGAAGCAGCGGCAGAAGCGCTTCGTGATTGTGGAAGATGGGGGAGCTTAGCACAGCGCGGAGCTGGCGTGGGGCAGCGAGTACAGCAGTAGCGATCCACAGAGGGAGCTGTGCACGGCTGGGGCTGCAACGATGATAGGGCCCTGGGCAGAGCTCCTTCGGATGGTTCGGACAGTGGCCCGTCGGATGTGGAGCCACATCCGGTGACCATGTTGCGTGCGGAGACTGCAGCAGCTGCGCCTCGCACGAGCAGAATTCGATGAAGTCAATGTGAAGAAAATAGCGTTGGGGTGTCCTGGCTTCGATTCGCTTTTCGAGTTGAGGGTGTCTAGGTCAGGGTTGAAAATGGGGTAAGAAGTTTCTGACGATGTTCATGCTATCTACGACAAGCAAATGTTCCTGCACCCAAGATGGGATGTGGAGCAGCGCAAAGCCAAAAAAGAATCACTGTTTCTGTCGGAATCGTGTATTGTCGAGTGGCACGACGCCAGGTGGCCAAAGATGCCTTTGCTGTGTCAACAAGCGGCACTGCATGTCCGTCTGTATGTCTGTCAGTCCGTCAGGCTGTCTTTCAGTCAGGTCGGTCTGCCTGCCTGTGCTAATGATTATAATGCACAAATGCGCATGCATGCATGCTTGCATGCATACATGCATGCCAACATATGATCAGAAATCGTCCGTGCCTGCGGCTTCTCGCGGCAAAGAGAACGGTGGCCACAGCCCGGTCATCCGGATTTATGGTTCAAGACGAGCGCAGGGTTGGGCAACCCTCCAAGATCGGACTGCAAGTTCTCGGCATCACGATACACCAGGAGATTCGCCTCTGTCATTCAGTGCTATCCTTTTGCGACCTTGTTGATGCAGGATGTTACCTTGGGATTACCATTGGTGGACGGACCTCACGATTCCAGTAGACCCCATCAGCTGGGAGATCAGTCCCCAGGCCACGGTCCGAGTCACAAATTGTATGCCCGGCTCAACTGGGTGCTGCACTGTAAAGACTGTAGTGTCACTGGCTTGATCTCTGTGCAGGAAAGAACACGGGCGGCAGACGAAACCATGCTGAAGACGGTACAGGGTGTCCACGACAAGGCCCGTCCAGCCACAGTTGACGGAGCACACTAATTCGGACCATGCATCGGGGGCTCGCGACCAGGGCGCTTCTTGACTTACTTGGTTCATAGATGTTGCCAGTGCCGGGCCGCGCGGCAGCGAAGAACGGCCCTTGTTTTTATTCAAGCAGCGGCCCCAACTGTCAGTGCCGTTCGTCTGCGGTGTTGCAGCGAAGACCGCCAGGCCATGGGCGAACTGGTCTGCTGCACACCATCATCGGTGGATGCAGACGAGCTGCCGCTCTGAGCGGAGGCGGCTTTGCTATGAAAGCTGCCGGCGATGTTTACGAGCTGAGTCGAACCTCCCACTCCCAGTTAGTGGGGAAGCAGTGTGCAGAAACACATATTCGAGGAGCCAGCCGAGGGCCTTGCCCAGCTTCTTCAGCGAGATGTTCGAGGTTTCTTTCAGCCTGTTCTTGTCGCTTTGGGCGTGCAGGCTGAAGGTGGGCTACCAGACGGCATTCCAGAGCGCACAGAAGGCCTGCAATCTCTGCCACCAGGTGCCCGGAGCAATGCCTTTGTGTGCATCTCCCTTGCAATCCTTTCCTGCCCAGGAGACTCAAAAGAGAGGAGAGCGTAAGAAGATCCTCGTGGGAGACCCGACCACAAGGTGGGGCACAGGGAAACCCTATCTGACGAAATGCAGTTTTCAAGGTTCGCTCATGTTTTTCTTCGGCTGGTGCTCCCCTGCCCTACCCAATCACTGGGCTGGTCGCCAGAAGAGACTCAGCAAATGTGAGTCAGGGGAAGTCGAGCAGCTCGCTGCGCAGCTGCAGTGAGAAAGTAGAGTTCCTTCAGACGAGTTACGAGTAGTTACCGAGCGGCCACTATCCAAGACAACTGCAGAGCCCAGTTTGGGCTCACATGTGTAAGCGTGAGCTGGAGCAGACGGAAGACGAGGTTTGTCGAAAAAGACCTCCGCTTACCTTTGGTTTCTCATGCGTGTGACAATCCTATGTTTGCGGCTGAGTGGGGTACCTGTGCCATAGAGCCGTTGCCATTGCAAGATCAGGAACAGAGACACGCGCTGCGCGAACGAACGTTGAAGTTTGTGCAGGCCGTCCTTACTGAGCACACAAACTAGCAACGTGCATCGCAGTCTTCCGACCCCAGCACCTTCAACCGCACATGCCAGTGTCCCTACCTACAAACTAGCGAAACCACTGCCAAGGGAACG